GTACCCGACTCATAGTGACCCTTCCTTGGGTTTCTGAGGCAGTATCACTACAGAAGTAGATTGCCCAGCCTTCCTCCGGAGGAGTGGCTGGTGGGTTTGAACCACCAGTCTTCTGGTTAGCAGTCAAGTGCCTTAGGCACTATGCTACCAGAGCTCTGCCTTCCTCCTATGAAGCCAGCCTTCTCTAGAGCAGGGATTTTGAATCATCACTATGGGGGTGGGTTGGGGTAAGGGTAGTCTTGCCTCTGGAACTGTCTTCTGTTTTCTTACTGTCACACCTCCCCCCTCAGCACACACAGTTGCTTTAGGAACTCCTCTCTCTCCATTCTTTAATAAGATTATAGCTTCCAGAGTTAGTGATCATAGTATGTTGAACATTACAGTAGACACTTCTGACACTTTGTGTCTGGGAAGGGTTAATTAATTGATTAAATGGTAACAAAGCATACGTGTTAATTTCTAAGCACCTACAAAAACTTTTCCAGCCTAGTAAGCCACACTGACTTAAGTTGCGGAAAGTATTAAGAGACCATGCGTTAGCTTCAGACATATCTGCATTCAGGGCAACAATCTTTTAGCTTATTAGCTATGACCGTGAACACAGAACTTAACTTTTTGGGCCTTGGTTTCTGTATCTTTAAGGAGATTATACTGGCACCTATTTTAAAAGCCATTTGTGAGGATTAAATGAGGTAATGAATATAAAATGCTTAGCACATTGCCTAACATATATAACAGAAAATGTTACCTGTTGATTGATATACATGTTTAGTAATAACTACAGGGTATGCTCTGCTTAACATCCTTGGTAAGTTCTGTGAAATAAGATGTTATGTGATTTGGATGTTGTACAAACACCATATTAAAACCTTATGGGAACCCACTGTTGAAGCTGCTGGTGGAGGCCAGAGGAACGGGTAGCATAGGCCTGCTGGGAGGCTGGCGGCAAGCAGTGGGAATGGAGTGAGAGGAAGTAGGTAGCACTTCAGCTCTGCCTGCTGTTGAGGCCTCCTGAGCAGCCCAGGCTGCCTTCCTAATAAAGCCTCGCCCAGAGCTATGTCCTCTGCCTTACCTGACTGCATCCCACCCATGGTGCAGTGCTACAAGAGTCTGGGTTTGGGGGTCTTTAAAAGCATTAAGAGGAGCTCTGGTAGCATAGTGGCTAAAGCACTTGACTGCTAACTAGAAGGCTGGCAGTTCAAACCCACCAGCCACTCCTCAGAAGGAAGGTTGGGCAATCCTACTTCCATAGTGATACTGTCTCGGAAACCCAAGGAGGGGGTCACTATGAGTCGGGCCGACTTGACGGCACATAACAACAACGACAAACAACAAAAGCATTAGGAGCTTTGGCAGCATAATGGCTAAGGCACTAGACTGCTAACCAGAAGGCTGGCGGTTCAAACCCACTAGACACTCCTCGAAAGGAAGGTTGGGCAGTCTATTTCTGCAGTGATACCGCCTTGGAAACCCAAGGAGGGGTCCCTTTGAGTCAAGTCTGACGAGGGCACATAACAACAATAACAACAACAACAAAACCTCTGGGCGGAATAATAAAAGGAGAGCTGCTTTCCCTTAAAATTTTAAAAAACAACAACAACAAAAAAAACCTAATGGGACCACCATATGTGGTGGAACATTTCCTGAAGGCACGTTACCTGTGTTATTATGACATTTGAAGAGAGCACAGAAAGATACCCATTGTTGGTGTTTTAAGTGATTTTTATCTTGATTTTAAATAAGCTGGTTTAAATATACATAATATAATTTACTAATTCAAAGAACATTTCTGACTTACTCTCATTTTCTTTCACAGAAATAGAAAATCAGACTAAATCAGATCAGCATTCCTTCCTCCCTTCTCTTTCTTGCCCAGGGCTGTGGTGTCATGTTGAGTGACTTGCTCAGTTCTGCAGCAATGGGAAATAGTGTTAAGGTGGTTTCTCAACTAGCTTCTAATTGTGTGATTTTGGAATTTGGGATTACTGCTGGAATTGGATGGACAGTTTGGTGGTTCTGAAGATACTTGCTGGCACCCCTTTTATGTTGGTGCTGTCAACAGATTGATAAACAGGCTTAAATGTAAGCCTGCTTTGAAGTGCAATTCAGAAGGGAAAAAATACAAACAAATCTAGTAATGGCATAATTAAGGGCATAGTCACAGCATTCGAGAGGACATAACTCTTCAAGTTCATAGAACATGTGAGAATGAGACCATTCGTGATTTCCACTTAATGGTCAAGAATACGATTAAAATGTATTTACTGCTCTCTAGAGATTTACTAAGGAGCTCTGGTGTACTGGATAAGGCATTTGGCTGCCTAACCAGAAGGTCGATGGTTCAAACCCACCAGCTGCTCTGTGGGAGGAAAATGAGACAATCTACTTCCATAAAGATTTACAGCCTTGGAAACTGTATGGGGGTTGCTATGAGTTGGAATCATACTCGATGACAGTGGGTTTTGGTTTGGTAGTGATTTACTGATTTCCATTGATGGAACCAGTAGTAAAATGAATGGAACCAGCCTTTTTTACCTCTCCCTTTGTTAGTTCAGGAGCTCTGGTGGCATAATGCCTAAGGCATTTGACTGCTAACCAGAAGGCTGGCAGTTCAAACCCACCAGCCACTCCTTGGAAGGAAGGATGGGCAATCTACTTTCGTAGTGATATTGCCTCAGAAACCCAAGAAAGGGTTGCTATGAGTCAGATCTGACTGGATGTCAGTAAGTTTGTTTTTTTTTGTTTCTTACTATTCTTGGAAGGAGCTCTTGTGGTGTAGTGGATAAGGCATTTGACTGCTAACTGGAGGGTCAGCGGTTCAAACCCACCAGCCGGTTCACGTAAGGAAGATGGGGCAATCTACTTCTGTAAAGATTTAGAACCTCAGAAACACAATGAGGATCGCTTTGAGTCGGAACTGACTCAATGGCAGTGAGTTTGGTTTGAGTTTTAACATTCTTGGAGTCCTTGGGTGGTACAGACAGTTTATATACTCAGTTACTAACTGAAAGGTTAGAGATTTGAATCCACTTAGGGACCATTCCTTGAAGGAGGATATCATGCTTGATAAAGGGTCAATGAAAAGGGGGAAGGCCCTCAATGAAATGGATTGACACGATGGGTGCAAGGATGGGCTTAGGTGTGGCAAGGATTATGAGGCTAGAGCAGGACCAGGCAGTGTTTTGTTCTGTTGTACATGGGGTCGCTATGAGTCAGAGCCAACTTGACGGCATCTAACAACAACAGGCACCTCAGAAGAAAGACCTGGCAATCTGTTTTCAGAAGATCAGCCATTGAAAACCCTGTGGAGCACAGTTCTGCTCTGATGCACATGAGGTTGTCTTGAGTCACAGTCGACTCAATGGCATCTGGGTTTTTTTTTTTTTTTTAACAATTTTTGCCTCAGAAACCCAAGGAGGGGTTGCTATGAGTCGGGTCTGACTCAACAGCACATAACAACAACAACGACAGATCCATGGAGTGGGGTTTATATCTAAAAGCAAATACTATTATCTATATAAACAGATTTTTTTTTGTTTAACAACCTCCACTTTCAACCAGCCCTGTTATATCCTTGGACTGTAGGGAAATTGTTTCATTTAATTTGTAATCTCCTTTGGAATATTCTCCCTCTAATGTTGGCAGATCCCGGCCCCACTCTTTGCTCACTGCACTGGGGCAGGCTTTGCTCATGAAGTGGATTTTCTAGGGGAAGTTACCTAGCTACTCAGCATGTACCCTCTTTTAGCTTCTTGCCTAGTACCTTAGGACACTGACTGAATTGATTGGCACGCTGAACAAACCTGAGGTGGAGTTAATGAGTGCAAGAGCATGCTTGCACTGTGGTTTAGTTTTCTATGGATCCAACTCCAAGTTGTTCAAATAAGCCTGGATTTTTCTCCCTCTTTGTGTCTTTGTCACCTTACCTAATGGAAGTGAAACCTGAAGCAAATTGTGGGCAAGTGGAAGTAGAAATCAATTTCAGTTCCTGGCCAGTGCCTGGCGGTGTTGGTTAAGGCCTGGCCTTCACCTTAGAGTTTAGCTCATCAGTCTATATCTCTCATCCTTTTTGAACTGGCTTCTAACAGCCAGACAGTGAAACTATGTAGAGAAAGCCTGTCAAGTGCTGTGGTTGTCTAAGACTGGCTTTGCAGGAGATTTTTCTAGTTGTATGGATTTATGGGATTACGGAGGGGCATAGTCCCTCCATTCATTGACAGTTAATTGGGTTTCTGTTACTGTCAGTTCCACTGCTGAGATGGCCTCCATGATAATTCTCACTCAGATTTGAAGCACAGACTGTCTTGTCCTGTGCTTGAGGATCTGCATTCAGGGAGAAGCTGCCTAGTCATAGATAACTGGGTTGTTTGTTTGCCATAGACCCAGGGAAGAATAGGATGTGGGGGAAGTCTAATCTGAATTTTGGATGGAATCCTGCGTGAGAGAAAAATTTGCTATCCTTTCAGTTGAAATTTCGACTCTGAACCCCAAGAAAAGGTGTCAGTAGGTCAGTTCCTTTTTGAGGCTCACAAAGACATTGCATCTCTACCAAGTGTTCACTCATCCCCTCAAAAAATCCTGACTTGGCTTAAACGCTGCTTCCGGTTATCTTTCATCACTTGCCTGAGTTTGGAAAGGTAACGGTTTTGTGCTCTGAGAAAAGAGGCTCTTCCCAAAGACTTGAGGCGTTCTTATTTCTACCAGCTGGGCCCATTGCTAAAATGCTTTCCAGTGGGCTTGCTTCTGCCTGGCCAGCACTTGGGCTGCCCCAGCTTGTAATTAGCCTGCCTTTGCTTCATAAGCTTCCCAGGGTGGTTCTTCTAAAAGCTTGTATGAATTGCTGTTACTGTCTCTTTATAGTTTAAAAATGAATCCTTTTTTGTTCTTTGCAACTCATTTGCTTTTTTCTTTTCTTTTCTTTAAATTACTATTAACACCTGTTGATTCTTTTTTTTTTTCTGATTGGCCTGTCACTGCATTCCTGCTCCCCCTCCCTCTAGCTGGGTTTGTCAAGTCGCCCATGTCAGAAACTAAGCTCACGGGGGACGCCTTTGAGCTGTACTGTGACGTGGTCGGGAGCCCCACGCCAGAGATCCAGTGGTGGTACGCAGAAGTCAACCGGGCAGAGTCTTTCAGACAACTGTGGGACGGTGCTCGGAAGCGCCGTGTCACCGTAAACACCGCCTACGGGTCAAACGGCGTGAGTGTGCTGAGAATAACCCGGCTCACCTTGGAGGACTCTGGGACTTACGAGTGCAGGGCCAGCAACGACCCCAAGAGGAATGACTTGAGGCAAAACCCCTCCATAACATGGATTCGAGCCCAGGCCACCATAAGCGTCCTTCAGAGTGAGTCCAGCACCCTACAGTAGTAGTACTGTAGTCGTTAGAGGTGGCCCGATGCCCTTTCCCTTCTGCTTCCTTTCCCTCTTCCCCAGTATGATCACTCACCCTACCCCTTGTCTTTGTTTTTCAAACCCACGACCCTTTGGTTGTAGTGTATAAAAACATTTGTGGCAACTTTTTTTTTTTTTCCTTCTTTGCCGTCCTCTCTACCTCCTTAATCCCCCAACCCTTCTCTGTGTCTTTCTCCTCAGGAACAAAGAACTTGGGGAAATCCGTGACTGTCCAATATCAACTGCGTTGGGGAGAGTTGGGGAGGGAGAACTGGGAAGGTTAAAAAAAAAAAAAAAAAAGTTTAAAACTTAAAAACCAAGCAGTCAAACCAGGGTAGTGTTGAAATTGTTTCTTTCCCTCCCCTTTAATTTTGTAGTAGGTTTCCTGCTATCCTTTTGCTGAATTCTTCTCTGGTGCCTTTCTATTTTTGTTTCTCTCCCCAATCTAACTACTTTTTATTTCTTCTGTTCATCTGTTTGAAGCTCTGAGTAGCTGCCTTCACTTCTATGGTTTATGGTTTTAAGCTTGTGTCTGCCCAGCCTTTCCCTCACTGTGACTTGATGTCATCTTGTTCTGGGATGGGAATGTTGCCATGGATGCAATGTGGTGGTGTGTTTTGGTTGCTGGGTGGCATGTAAGCTTGCACATTCCCATAGTCCAGCTCTTTTTCCTTTCTGAAACAGCGGCATGTGCTTCTCTGATCACAGCCCTCCACTGCAGCAGCACCTCCCCCTGGTCTTGCCCATTCAGTCTTCTGTTCTCTTAAAAGCAGCAGTCAGAGGGAGGTTTTCTTCATGCATTTTGCTATGAGAAGCCAGGTGACACCTTATGTGCAAGATTTTTTTTTAAAGCCCAGCTCTGATGACTGTTGGCACAGTGCTCCCTCTCAGAGGTTGGCAACTTCAGAAATTATTTGGAAGCCATGCGTAGTAGCCTTTCCTTTGTGGCTTGAAAAAAGAGGAAGGAAACTAAATTCCAGCCCTGTTCCTGTGAGTGACAGGGGTGAGCTGAGCTGACTTACAATCCTTCCCTTCATCAGTCGTAGCAGGTACAAGATATCAGGCACAGGAGCTTTTGTTCCCACTGCTTTTCTTGGAAAGTGACTCGCTACTTATATGGTGGAAAGGAGAGGGAGGGAGAAGCCACCACAGAGCCAGTGCTCTCAGCCAGGGGACATTCTAGCCCCACATCAGACCTGTTTATAATAGTTCTCTATTTAATGGGAGGACCCCCTGGGTTTTCCACCTTCTCTTCAAGGGCTCAGTGAGAAATTTATAGCTAGTTCCAGCTTAAAGAACTGGTTGATTTGGAAAGAATAAGCAAAAATGGTAAAATACATTTATAAGGAATTTGGTAATACAGAAGGTAATATGACTTTGATTATGAATCCATATTCTTACATGGAAGGTAAGAAATTAGTATCTGTTCCTTGTAACAGGTCACAAGATCCCCCTATGAAAGAAAAACCTCAGAGGACAGAGGAGAGGCTGCTATAGTTGGCACTGTTGAATCAGAGAACCTGCTTCTGGAAACAGGAAAAGAAAATCCTGTCTTTGTGAAAATGGAGAACATTAACCCAGCGATTTTTTTCTTTCTTTCTTTTAATTTAACAATTTTGTTTCCCTTGCACGCCTCCTTTTCCTGCCCCCTTGCTCCTTTCCTTATAAAACAGAATTACCCAAATGGCCACAAACATATGCAGAAGTTTATAGTGATGGACTGGGCTGGGTATTTGGTTACTTGTACTTCCTGGAACCTGACTCAAGGAGACGCATAACTAAAAAGGCCATGCCTGAGGGCTAGAAAAAAGATGAGATTTTGGGACACCTACCTACTAGCCTGGAGAGTACCTAGCATTTCCTTAGGTACTTGGAAGCAGGCATCCTAACTTCCCTATCAGTCATTTAACCCTAGTTAAGTATTTTGGGGAGTCAAGTTGCTGTTATTGTGGCTGCCCCTCCCCCCAAACTCCCTGAATTCAACTCGGAATTGGATTGTATGATCTCTGCAGCCTCAAGGGCATTGGCTCCAGGAGGAGTTTGAAGTCATCCATCTTAGAATGGCCTCCTGGCAGTACTTCCCCACAGCTTTTTGAGTAATGCAAGGCAGGAATATAAAAATGCCCAGTTTCTGGGATATCTCTTGGGCCACATAGCACATTCCCACACATGGATAATGATGACCAGGGTAAATGTCTCCTAAACAAGAGTGAGTTGTAGGTGAAAAAAAAAAATTGAGTTTGCCCCAAATGATCATCTCTTGGACTTTCACTGGGCCTTGGTTGGCTGCAGGAAAAAAAAGCCGCACCTTCATCCTGGTGCAGAACGCAGATGAAGCACTGTGGCCTAGGAGCTCGGTCCAGGACTGGTTTCCACTTACAGCCATCACAGGAGCCAGGTAATCTACAACTCAGTCCTCCTATAGTATAGAATCATATTTAAACCTATTGAAATTATCCTTGCTCCCAGCTGATGTGCTCCTCAGTCATTAACACTTAAAGGAAAAAGTGCTTTCCCTTGCCTTCCAAGAATTCTTGGCAGAGAGTCTACCAGCTTGCTTTCATCAGCTTCTTCATCTCCCTAAGCTGCATCGCCATTTGTGGTCATTTGCATTGCCACAGGTAAGAGTAGCATTTACTTTGGCCTCCTTGTATTTAAATGTCTGGAAGCTCTTGGCCTCATTCTTCAAGTTCACCCTTTCTCAGTGCAGTCTGAGAGGAAGAACCAGAAGGAGAGTCCCAAGTGGGACAGGAAATGAAATTGGATAAATAAAAATTCAGTGAAAACCTAAAAAGTGTGTTTGGGTTTTAATGTTGCCTTTGTATTTTTTTATTTCTCTTCTGTGGAGTACTGGGTCTTTTTCTCTCTTTTGTTTTTGCTTGGTTTTGATTTCTCTTGGAATTGTGATGCTTTCTGCTGATGGTGTGTGTGCGCCTTCCATTGCAGGGTTTGCAGCCGTTCTGCTCGACTTCTTAAGGCCCAGGGATTTGGCTTCTGTCCAGTGTGTTTTGGAAACCATGGGACACCACTTCACTAATGTGTTTACATGCATCTGCTTCTGTCTTAGTGGCTGCTATGCCTCCATTATTTGTACATAGAGACCCTGTTTGACATTACCAATAAGAACCAGTGCTAATAGAAGATAACTGCTGTCTAATTTTGCCAGAGTTGGAAAGTTGTTAGAACTGATTCATTAATTTAGCAAACTTGAGGATTTGCATTATTTATCACAAGTTTCTTTGAAGATACTGGTTCTATAGTCAGAAATGTTACACTGATTAGGAGGTCCTTGGGCATTACATTTTTCAAGTGTCCTATGACTTCCTCACCTTGTCCCCTTCCCTGTAAAATGAGCAAAACTGAGTTCCAGTGGAGGAAGAGAGTTCTGGCTTTAGGAGTCAGCGCTATACTGCATAAGATAGTCTTAACTAGCTGCTGTGGAGCTGTAGACAGGAAGTAGCCTGGGATGGGGACATGGGAAGCTGGTCAAGAATTTCTAAGAAAGAGTTGGGGAAGGGGAAGCTAAAGAACAAATACTTCTAATTTGGATGGGAAAAGATGTTAGTTTAGACCTCACCTGATAATGTTTGACAAAGCAGGGAAAGAACGAAGCCTGGGAACAGATTAAAGACAGATAACAAACTTAGAAATGTCTTGACTTTAATACTAGTGACAGATGTCAAAGTGCTTTAAAGATGAACCTTCTAGGAATACAGTGTGACTTAAAGATTTCTGCTTAATGTGCTATGATACTTGACTCAAATTGGTTATTTTTGTAGATAATGAACTATGATCCCCCCAGGTTATCTAGCCCAGGATAGAACAAGGAGACCAAATATATACCTTGCACTAGGGTGGAAGGAAGAGCTCTGGTGGCGTAATGCCTAAGGCATTTGACTGCTAACCAGAAGGCTGGCGATTCAAACCCACCAGCCACTCCTGGGAAGGAAGACTGGGCAATCTACTTCCATAGTTATACTGCCTTGGAAACCCAAGGAGGGTTCGCTATGAGTCAGATCCGACTCGATAGCAGTGAGTTTGGCTTTTTTGAGGGTGGAAGGTAGGGAGTGTTTTGGGGTGGGAGGAGCAGGAATAGAGAACTCAATCAGATTTGTTTCCAGTCTCAGCTTTGCTACTAACAATTGTGGTCTGGAGCAAGGCATTTCACCTTTCTAACTCTTAAATACTGGGATTCAGTGATCTCCAAGGGCCTTTCAGTTCTAAAATTCTAGGAGCCCATAATACTAACACATATTGCACTCTTGTTATGATTATATTATCTCAGAATGGAATGGGTTTTTAAGTGCAATTCTGAAAAAAAAAATTGTTTTGGGAATGTATATGGGCTGGAGAGAAGAATTGATAGTTCCTTAAGAATTCTGCCTTAGCAAAATTTGGGAAATGCAATAGATTTCCAGTGGGAAATTGGCTTTTAGGATCTACACTGTCTTTTTTTTTTGCATAAATAACGGCCATGGCTGGTTTGCCATAGAAGGTTGATTAGATTTAAATGTGGGAAAAGCATATATGTATTATGTAATTATACCTATTACTGTGCCAAGGCCTAGTGACTCCATAGGGAGTTTATGACTTATATAAATGATACTGCCTTTGTCTTCAGAACTGCACAGTGGAGCCAGGTTTTCCTAAACTGAAGCTGAATCGGTTGGTGGTTCTTATATTATAAAAAGGTGGTATTCAAAAGTATAAGTGTATTGTTGCCAGTACAAGCACCCGTAATGCTCCCATTCTTTCACGTCTAGGCCAACTGGTCTTCAGGCTGTTGTCTGCGCTAGTGGTCATTTGCTTATAATCATTGTTTTTCTTTCCTGACTTCCTCCAAAGTGGTAAAGTGAAATTCCTCATGTGGTCCTGTCTGCCTTCCCTCTTCTTCTAGTCTCCCCCTCCTTACCCCTCCAGCTCTCAGGCCAGGGTTACAGAGGATGGAAGGTTATGGCCCCCTATCATTGTTCACTCTTATTACAGAGCCCAGGATTGTCACCAGTGAAGAGGTCAATATCCGGGAAAGCCCTGCCCTCCCCATCACCCTGCAGTGTAACCTCACCTCCAGCTCTCATACCCTTACATACAGCTACTGGACAAAGAATGGGGTAGAATTGACAGCCACTCGTAAGAATGCCAGCAACATGGAATACAGGTGAGAGGGGGCTGCAGTTCCTGGAACGATGGGAGGGAGTGTCACTGATCTCACTTAGCATTCATAATCTATTATGCTATGTGGGTGGAACATGAGATATATTTGCTGGAGAGTCTAATCCAGTATCTGGGGTAAGGCCCAGGAATCTATAAAAGCTTTCCAAATGATTGTGATGAGTAGTAAGGTTTGGGGGGCCACTCACAGATAATAAGGAGCTCTGGTGGTGCAGTGGTTAGGCCATTTGGCTGCTGACCAGAAGGTTGGTGGTTCAAGCCCACCAGCCATGCCATGTGAAAAAGATGAAGCAGTCTGCTTCTGTAAAGATTTATAGCCTTAGAATCCTGTGGGCAATTTTGCTCTGTCTTGTAAATGCCTAAGGCATTTGACTGCTAACCAAAGGGCTGGTGGTTCAAACTCACCAGCCACTCCTCAGAAGGAAGGTTGGGCAATCTACTTCTGTAGTGATATTGCCTTGGAAACCCAAGGAGGGGTTGCTATCAGTCGGATCCAACTCCATGGCAGTGCATTGCATTGCGTTGCATTGTGTTGCGTTGCATTGCATTTATAGGGTTGGTGTGAGTTGGAATAGACTGGATGACAATGAGTTTTTTTTTTTTTTTTAAAATGACTGATTCCTTAACCATGATAATAAAGAGAGCATGAAGGAGTGATTTTCTGAGAGTCATGATGCTAGTCAGTAGGAGAATGTAGGTCTCTAGACTTCAGCTAGTAGTTTAAGGAATCAGATTGAAGTCTGATTTGCGACTCTCAGAGTAAGAATCTCCCTGAGGGATTTTTCCACTTGGTCAATTCCCTAGTAAATTACCTTTTAGAAATGTTCCACATCATCACTGGGTCTCTGGGTGGCGCAAGGTAAATACTTGACTAATCAAGAGCTTGGTGGTTCACATGCAGTCAGAGGCACCTCTGAAGAAAGCCCTGTGGAGCAGGCTCATCTGACTTGTAGGAGGTCACTGAGTTGGAATTGACTCAATGGCAACAGGTTTTTTTTTTTTTTTTTTTTTTTAAATATCATCATAACCTGACCAAGACCAGTGGATGCAATGATGAAATCCTGGGAATATCCTTTGAAGAAAGGTATATATTTGTTGGCTGGAGTTACTTGGCATCCAAAAGACTTGGTGCTTTTTGGAAAGTCTAGAGCTCATGGCACTCACCTTTGAAGACTAGTTTGCGCCTGGCCGGAAACAGACGTAGAGCGTCAGCTCATCCTGCTTTGCAGGATGATGCATTGCAAAGAAAGAGAGCACTGGAATGGGACCAGGAGGTGTGTACCCTGTAATAGCAGGACATTCTACATTTTTTGCAGCATTGAGATCTTTTCATACCCTTTATTTTATTTGGTCCACATAAATTTATTAGAGGGAGCTGCTCCATTTTTCAAGTGCAGAAACTTAAGACTGAACGTTTCAGTTTGAAAAAGTAAAGACTCTTGGCTAAGTTCAAGGTCAGATACTGTATCTCACAAGTATCAGAACAAAGTCTAGATTCCATGTCTTCTGATTTTCTAGAGTCTAGATGATAGTTTTTTTCTGTTCTGGCTATGCCATTTAGTGGCAAGTCAGTTAACCTATCTGCACTGTAGTTTCTTGAAAATACAGCCTCAGCCAGATCCTTGTAGTTTAGAAAGGATTAATCAAACAGAGATGTTAAGTGAATTAAATGGCATTTATTCTTGGTTTATCTATTAGTTTTACAAGTTATTATTTTTTTAATACCTCTTTCAGGGTAGCAGACATCCAAGCATGCTTCTCTTAGGTCTTGCACTATGCCACCTGCAAAGCTTGGAGCTATATAAACACATACTCTGACTTTATAAAATACCTCTTTTTTTTCCAGCTTATTTGAAGCTCTCCAGCAGTATTGTACATTTCTAGAGCTTTTCAGGAAATCTGTGTCCTCTTGCATTTTGTTGAATTTTGTTGAAAGGACTGCTGAGTCCTTTGGGCCACTTAATTAGTCAGCCATGGAGCTAGTCTCAGAACCCTGCTTCTGCCAACCTTTAGGGGACATTTTCCATTTGCTTTCATTGCTTCCCAATACCTCATCCAGGGGATGGGATGGGGAAAATCTGAACATATTGGAACGGCCTCAGACTTGAGAGTCATTTTCCCAAGTCTTTTTCAAAGAGCTTAGTGTCAGTCCAAGTCCTGAAGATATAGCCGCTGCTGCCCCGAGACTCTGCAACACTTGGTGAGAAGACTAGCTTATCTGTGTCATTTTTTCCTTTTGGGAGCATATTCATTTAAGAAGAGGCTGTTTGTGTTACCGTAAGATCTCTTGACAGCTCCTCTTAGAATATTATGTTGCATGGATCACGTGAGATAGTCCTGAAGATGGGTTCTATCTATCCTTACGCTTATTTCACAATCTGTGTTTCCTTTTTGTAATGAATACTAAGATGGATAAATAAATTAGGCCAGTCAGGTTGATGTTAGGAGTTTCTCTCAGACATTAACTAAGTGCAGTGGAGATCTGACCATCATCAGTGTCACATTTCAACCACTGAAAAAAAGAGCAGGAGGCTAGTTGTAGGTAAATGCTTGTTCTGAGTTGGAGGCTTTTGTTTCTCTGCTTTCTGTAATAAACACCAACCTTTCTGTGTGCATTCTTGTGTGTAGAACAGAGTGTATAGAATGTGCGTGTGCAGCTAGGCCTCAGGGACAAGAATGCTTGTTTGGAATCACCCTGTGGGATTCAGAGGAAGTGCTGTTCTTGTTCTAGTCACACTCACTCCCAACAGCCCTGCCTATCACTGTACTTCACTTGGTCTGGATCTCTGCACAGCTCTTCACCCTGAGTTCCTGTTCATTCAATCATTTGTTGCTGTATTCCAAGCACTGTGTAGGGTTAGGGTATAGAATTGTACACCAGATAAATAGTGTCCACCCTCACTGAACTTGGTCTGTTGGGGAGATGGATATCAATCAAGCAATCAGATAAATATGTAATTACACTTTGTGATAAGTGCTGTTCTGAAGAATGACAAGGCAATATAAGAGAATGTGTCAAGGAAGGGGATATAATTTAGATAGGGGTGGGAAGAAGTAACATGTAAGCTAAGACCTGTTGGAAAAGAGTTAGCTGTACTGAATGTGGGAAGAGCATTCTGTTTAAGGACTAGCTTGGTGAGGGTTTTGAGGTAGGAACACACTTGGCACATTGAAAATCTGCAAAGGCACAGCATGGCATGAGGCTGGAGAGCTAGACAGAGCTCAGGTCATGCAGACCTTGGAGTTGGTGATAAGCTGATATCTCTGTGTCTGATGCTCTGATGGCAGATCGTTTTCTTTTTTCTTTTAACCATACTTGGAATCTTGTTAGTGAGTAGACTTAATGAAACGTATCCTACTAAAACACAAGGTAGGAAGAACATAAGTATGGAAACAAGGTCTTTAGGAAGTTCAGAAAGAGGTTTGCTTTTTTTCTGCTCTTGTTGATTTGACTGGAACCACCAGATAGATGAACAAGCAGTTTTTAGTGATGGCTTCATTCTCTGTGTTTGATTATGGATTATAGATATCCATACAGCCCTCTATTTTGATTACTTGTTTTTACATGTTTATTTTTCCAATTAGACTGAAACACCTTGAGGTTAGGGGCTGTGTATTACTGCATCTTTGTCTTCCTGGCACCCAGAAAGGAGTAAGGTACTAGTGTTTTGGGATGCAAAGGGGAAGGTTTTTGCTTTTAGTTAGGGAGAGGATTTGGACAGCAAGGTCCCTGCTTGCCCCATTGATTGTTTTTTGTTACATAATTTGACTTGTCCCAGGCTCCTCATTTGGTTTTTCTTCTCATCTCTGCAGGATCACTAAGCCGAGAGCTGAGGATTCAGGCGAATACCACTGCGTATATTACTTTGAAAGTGCTACTGCTAAAGCAAATGCCACTATTGAAGTCAAAGGTACAATCCACCAGAGCCTATGGTTTGAGCCTCTCCTTCTAAGACATTGCCTTGGTCTGGACTCCTAATCTTCAAGCTCTTACTTCCATTACAAGAGACAATATAATGTTATGGTCAGGACTCAGCTCAGTCTGGTGTTAAATCACGTTCCATCATTTATTAGCTTGTAAACTTGGGCGAGTTTTTAACTTCTTTATGTTTAAGTTTCATCATTTGTAAAATGAGGATACCAACAGTACCTATCTTACAGAATTGTTAAACTCAACTCACTGTTGTCAAGTTGGATCCGGCTCATAGCGACCCCTCCTTGGGTTTCTGAGGCAGTATCACTACGGAAGTAGATTGCCCGGTCTTCCTTCCGAGGAGTGACTGATGGGTTTGAACCGCCAGCCTTCTGGTTAGCCATCAGATGCCTTAGGCACTATGCCACTAGAGCTGCCACAGAGCTTTTAGGACGATTGAATAAGTTAATACAGTAGGTTAAACTATATAAAATTGATGTTTTTGTATGTCACAGTGTTTTAATACTGGTAATTTCATATGATTCAACCTTTTGTGAAGCTCTTAGAATGAAACCCCAACCCACTGCTCTTGAGTCAATTCTGACTCATAGCAACCCTACAGGACAGAGTAGAACTGCCCTGTAGGGTTTCCAATGCTGTTATCTTTATAGAAGCAGATTGCCACATCTTTCTTTCATGGAGCGGTGGTGGATTCTAACTGCTGACTTTTTGGTTGGTAGCTGAGCTCTTAACCACTGTACCATCAGGGCTCCTTGCTTTTGGAACAGTGCCTTACTATTATCATTACATAGGTTTCTCCAGTGGACCAGCAGGATTTGGGAAAATCCCGTGTGCAGGGTGAACATAGGTATTGATGGATAAGTTGTTAGAATTTTAGTGGAAAACCTATGGGTACCTGCATCTTCAAGATGAGACTGTAGCTCAAAGTCTGAAGAAGGGCAGATGGAATTATAAAAATAAAAGTTGGTGCTACTTCATATCATTAATCCCAGCTTTTGCATGTTATTCTAGAGAAGCAACTGAAGGATGAAACTACTACCTAGCTCTGTCACAGAGTAAGCTTATGGCAGAACCAGCACAGAACTCAGGTATTCTGACCCCCAATCCAGTGTTCTTTTCACTGTTACGAAAGGACCATGGGGAGACAGTGCTACTGTTTGAGGTCAGACTAAAGAGATGAGGTGGTTTTTTTTTTTTTTTTTTTTTTTTTCCCCTTCAGTTTACTTAGAAAGGACATGAACTTAATTCTTTCAGTCCCTAGGGTGATCCCTAGAAGATAGAAGGATAAATTTAGGAAGAAGAAAGGGAATCTATAGTAGGTATTCAGGTCTTCCTTAAAATATTTGGAAGAATGAAAATGCCGATTCAAGAAATGAATAGATATATTCAAAGTTTTCAGTGGACAGTGTTATTAAGTAAAAATAATATCTTTGTGACAGAACCCTAACTTGTCAGTTGATAAAGGGACGGCCAGTGCCTCCTTTGGGTGCCAGGTTTAATTCTAGTTAGGAGGCTGATGGGATTGAGTCAGGGTGGGATGGTCACAGTTCACAATAGGCCAGAGAACCTGGGGTTTGATTTTGTCAGTTATTTTCTTGGAGAGATCTGGGCTTATCTGTGTTTTTGAAGAATGCCTCCCTTGTTCAGCATGAAGGTGTGGGAAATCATTTTCTCTGAGCTATTGAATGCCTTCCCAGTCTGGGTGAGCTGAGGTGTGTGGGGAGAGGGTTCACTCCTCCATATGGAACTTGAGGCCCTGCAGCAACATTCCAGACTGAGCCTTTGGCACAAAGTTCACCTCTTGTAAGAGTAAACAGGATGGGTGAGGTATGGAAAGGGGACTGTATGTAGTAAAGTGTTTTGTCTAAGCCTGAAGGATGTTGTTGTTGTTAGTTGCTGTTGAGTCACTTCCAAGTCATGTTGTTGTTGTTGTTATTAGGTGCTGTTGAGTTGGCTCCAACACATAGCAACCCTATATATAATAGAACAAAACACTGTCTGGTTCTGTGCCAGCCTCACAGTCCTTGCTACAGCTGAGCCCATCGTTGAAGCCACTGTGTCAAGTCTGTCTTGTTCAGGGCCTTCTCCTTTATCACTGACCCTCTGCATTACCAAGCATGATATCCTTCTCCAGGGAATGTTCCCTTTTGACTTCGTCTCACCACTCTTGCTTCCAGTGAACGTTCCGGCTGCACTTCTTCCAGGACAGATTTGTTAGTTCTTCTGGCAGTCCATGGTTCTTTCAGTATTCTCTGCCAGCACCACAACTGAAAAGCATCAACTCTTCTTCAGTCTTCCTTACTCATTGTCCAGCTCTCACATGCATATGAGGCAACTGAAAATACCATGGCTTGGGTTACGCACACCTTAGTCTTTCAAAAGACATCTTTGTTCTTAAGCACTTTAAAGAGGCCTTTTGCAGCATATTTGCCCAGTTTTGTCTGATATCTTGACTGCTGCTTCCATTGGTGCTGATTGTGGAACTAAGTAATAGGAAATCTTTGACAACTTCAATCTTCTCTCCATTTATTGTGATGCTGCTTATTGGTCCAGTTGTGAGGATTTTCATTTTATTTATGTTGAGATGTAATTCATTCTGCAGACTGTAGTCTTTGATCTTCAACAGTAAGTGCTTCAAGTCATCATCATTTTCAGCAAGCAAAGTTATGTCATCTGCACGTTGCAGGTTGTTAATGATTCTTCCTCTAATCCTGATGCCACGGTCTTCTTCATATAGTCCAGCTTCTTGGATTATTTGCTCAGGATACACATTGAATAAGTATGGTGAAAAGATACAACTCTGATGCACTCCCTTCCTGATTTTAAACCATGCAGTATCCCCTTGTTCTGTTCAAATGTCAGTCTCCTGTTTTAAGTACAGGTTCCTGATGAGCACAATTAAGTGTTCTGGAATTCCCATTCTTCTCAACATTATGCATAATTTGTTATGACCCACACAATTGAATGCTTTTGCATTGTCAATAAAACACAAGTAAACATCTTTCTGGAACTCTTTGCTTTCAGCCAAGATCCATCTGACATTAGCAATGTTATCCCTCATTCCACATCCTCTTATGAGTACAGCTTCCATTTCTGGAACCTCTCTGTCAATATACTGCTGCAACCTTTTTTGAATTACCTTCAGCAAGATTTTACTTACGTGCAATATTAATGCTATTGTTAGATAATTTCTACATCCTGTGGGATTGCCTTTCTTTGGAATGGGTACAAATATGAATCTCTTCCAGTCAGTTGGCCAGGTAACGGTCTTCCAGATTTCTTGGCATAGATGAGTGAGTGCCTCCAGCGAGGCATCCTCTCAGTGATTCTGTGTATTCCTTCCATCTTCTTTTGATGTTTCCTGCATCATTCAATATTTTGCCCGTAGAATCTCTGAATATTGCAATTCGAGGCTTGAATTTTTTCTTCAGTTCTTCCAGCTTGAGAAATGCTGAACATGTTCTTCCCTTCTGGTTTACTAACTCCAGATCTTTGCTCATTTCGTTATAATACTTTACTTTGTCTTCTCAAGCTGCTCTTTGAAATTTTTTGTTCGGCTGTTTTATCCTGTTGTTTCTTTCATTTGTTTTAGCTACTCTTCATTCAAAGGCAAGTTTCTGAGTCTCTTCTGACATCCATTTTTGTCTTTTCTTCTTTTCCTGCCTTTTGAAAATCTTTTGCTTTTTTCATGGATGATTTTTTTGATGTCATCCCACAATTGGTCTGGTTTTTGGTCATTGGTGTTCAGTGAGCCAAATCTGTTCTTCAGATGGTCTCTAAATTCAGGAAGGATATAATTAAGGTCATAATTTGGCTCTTGTGGACTTGTTTTAATTGTGTCTTCAGCTTCAACTTGTATTTGCATATGAGCATATGCATATGCATATAGTCTGTCCCACAGTCAGCTCCTGGCCTTGTTTTGGCTGAAGATATTGAGCTCCTTTATCACCTCTTTCCACAGATGTAAACCAAAGCCAAACCAAACTCATTGCTGTCGAGTCAGATCTGACTCATAGTGACCCCTCCTTGGGTTTCCGAAGCGGTATCACTGTAGAAGTAGATTGTCCATTCTTCCTTCCGAGGAGTGGCTGGTGGGTTCAAACTGCCAGCCTTCTGGTTAGCAGTCAAATGCCTTAGGCAGTACACCACCAGAGCTCCCAGATATAGGCAGTCTGATTTCTGTGTACTTCATCTTGTGAAGTCCATGTATATAGTTGCTGTTCATGTTGTTGGAAAAGATATTTGCAATGAACAAGTTGTTGGGCTTGTGAAATTCTGTCATGCAATCTCCAGCGTTATTCCTATCACCAAGGCCTTATTTTCCAACTACCGACGATTCTTCTTAGTTTCGGACTTTTGCATTCCAATCACCAGTGATAATCAACACAGCTTGGTTGTGTATTTGGTCAATTTCAAACTGCAGAAGTTGTTGAAAGTCTTCTATTTCCTTGTCTTTGGTGGTTGGTTCTGATAACAGGACCAAAACATGTAAGTAAAGTCTCATCATCTTCACTTCTACAGAGCATTCTGGCTGTACTTTTTCCAAGAGGGATTTGTTTGTTCTTCTGGAGATCTGTGGTATATTCCATTTTTGTCATCAACACCATAATTCAAAGGCATCAATTCTTCGATCTTCCTGATTCATTGTCCAGTTTTTACATGCATATGACGTGACTGAAAATACCATGGCTTGGGTCAGGCTCATGTTAGTCCTCAGAGTGATGTTTTTGCTTTTTTTAACACTTGAAAGATGTCTTTTACAACAGATTTACCCAATGTGGTATGTCATTTGATTTGCTAGCTGCGTCCATGGGCATTTTGATTATGGACCCAAGTAAAATTAAATCTTTGACAACTCAGTCTTTTCTTCATCTGTCATGATGTTGCTTATTGGTCCATTTGTGAGGATATTTATTTTCTTTATACTAAGATGTAATCCATACTGAAGACGATATAGTCTTTGATCTTCATCAGTAA